CACTATAATTCACTTACATTAAAAAATTAAAAGGAATACTAATAATAATATTTACCACAGTCTCCTCCTTCTATTTTTTATACGTTACAGTTCGTATATTACCAATACATGCAGAAAGATGTTACTGTTGGCTCTTCCTATAATTATAGACATTTTCTAAATGTAGTCGTTCGAAACAAATAATTTTTTCGACTTTAAACTATAGCAAACTAGGCGTATAAAATCACCATATACAAACAACAACTATTACAAGAAATTTAATACATTTTCTCATTTTCTTGGAGGGGTTAAAGTAGAACTCATTTGCTATGGCTGTAGAAGCAGAGAGATGATCTACTTCTAAGAAAAATTCCTAATGACCTTTGACTGCATCTTTCTTTTGCAATTGTCGAATTGATAGTAACTTTTTACCGTAATTAAATAGCTAGTGAACTGTGGAATTTACTTTAATAATTTGTTCGATACATTCCATACCAATAAATGCAAAACATATCAGAGCTGTTATAGAAAGCAGGAAGATCAGACCCTTTTAGGCCTCCTAGAAGGCCCGAACTTAGGGAATATAAGACAGTGCCCGGTCTTCATTAGTAATTGAAACAGAAATTTAATACATTTTCTGGGAGGGGTTAAAGTAAAGCATATTTGCTATAACTATAGAAGCAGAGAGACGACCTACTTCTAGAAAAAATGCCTAATGACCTTTGACTGCATCTCACTTTTGCAATTGTCAAATTGATAGTAACTTTTTTCCATAATTAAATAGCTAGTGAACTATTGAATTTATTTTAGTAATTTGTTCGATACATTACATACCCAAATTTTTTAAATGCAAAACTGCTCAGAGCTATTACAGAAAGCAGGAAGATCAGACCCTTTTGGACCTAAAAAACCCGAACCTAGGGAATATAAAACATCAGCCGGTCTTCATTAGTAATTCAAACAGAAAATCTCTAAATCCGTGTTTTCGTTTTGCTTGAAACAAAATATTTGACTGTAATGCCACATCTATTTATAACATTCAACGATTCTAAAAATACCTATTAATAACCTATTAACCGACTTCGATTAAACAAACGAAAATTAAAGGAAAATAAATATTATTCGGGTAGTCCGTATATCTAATGTAGGTACTCTTACACTGATATGGTACAAAAAAGGAGATAAATTAATATCAGTTAATTGGGTATGGAATTCTGTTATTTATAATGGATTTCTAAAACAATTGAACTCCTCGTGTGTAAGTAAAATTCTTTCTATTAATAAACAAATACAATAGTTTGTTTTCATCGTATACTTTTGAAATTGCAATTAAATTATTATCAACAAGTTTAATTTAAATTTACCAATATAATTTTGTATAAACAGAAAGTTGTAAAACAATAAAAGGACATTTCTATTGAATAAAACATAAAGTAATAGTGAAGAAATTAGAAGCATTTCTCTTTATAAGTAAAATATATTAATAAGCCCTCAATTTTTAATTACGATATAAAAATACTAATGCAAATTCTTGTCTCATTGTGGGATATCATAATTCATCAACTCCACATTGTCATCCCTTCCTACTACGTCTCCTAACTCTTGTCCTGCATCCTACGTATTCGTTCCATCTATCCACTCTCTTCTAATTTTTTAACTAAAATCTGAATTCTTATATTATTACTATAGTTAGAACGATCAAAATTGACATAGTACACAATAAACTATCTGTGAGAATGAATGTATCTTTTTTTCTTTTATTTCCACTTGGGACTGTAGTCATTTACAGCGTTTTGAACACGACCTTGTTAATTAAGATATGCTTCAAGAGTAGTACATACAAAGAAGAAAGAGATAACAAAATAACAGTAAGCGGTGTAGCGGTTAGAGGTTGCTTGGGTACGCAAAAGATCAGGATCAGAAAGTAATGTGACAGTTTTATTGTGGACTATGTCAATTTTGTACGTTCTAATTATTCTGTACTCTCTTTCTTTAAAATTCCTAACCACATCATTCCCACTTTTCCTCCTCTTCTGTACACCTATTATCTAGTCATTGCCGCTTAGTTGTTCTACAGTTCCAAATTATTTCCCACTTTATGATTTTATACCTTTTTTGCCCTTCTTTATCTGTCTTGCTGTTTTATTTTATCTTCTTTTCCCTCTACTAATCCTACAATCTCGTTTATTATATCCACGGATTTCTAAACTCGTTTTGTGTGTTTTTAATGACATTTGCTTTAGGACCATTCATAAAATACGTCAATCAGGATTTTTGCAGCCCTCAACAAATATTACGTCGCAAATGGTAGAAACCCTGTAAACGATTCGTTGCCATTAATAATAGTACTTAAATTAACAACAAAACCTAAAATAAAATTAACGAACTACAAACGTCTCCTTAGAGCCCCCTTCCCTCTAGTCAAATAACATCAGACTAATCGTAAGAAATACCTCTCGCTCACCCTTTCTTACGAGCATATTTTTATGATCAGCATCGTCCCAGCTATGCCTTTTATGTAATATGATCAAAACTTTTGAAGTCCTACGGAAGTCCTTAGATCCTACACTAAACATCATGGGATACTTAAACTTTTTGGTGTTTCATTCCCATTACGTAATTCTGTTGGACGGGCAATCCCTCAGGACTACACCGAAGGATAGGGCGAAAGGTCCTCTGCGACCTCTTATTAGAAATCATGGGAACCGATGGGTGGTGGTTAGGGGTGGCAAACGAAATGATGCCTAAGTATTCCAAGAAAATCACTATTGGTTTTGATCTTGCAGTCTTAGTCTTGACCTTACGAAAATGTATGACCAAGACCAACAACAAGACTATCTTTATACCAGCAAGACTACACTATCATCACTATAATTCACAGAAAAGCTTGAACCAGCCTCTACCGCTAGGTGAAGATCAAGGACTTTGCAATTGTTACAATTTGATAATTCTACAAGAAGGAAGTGTGCTCAGTATATCAACTCATACTTTATAATTAGCAGGGCCTAATTTCGGGCAAAATCTGATTAACTTTTCTTTACCATGTACGAATATGTAATTTAAAATAGCAAATATAATCGAAAACCTTCAAAACATTGTTGATAAATACCTACAACAACTTTTATTATGTAAAATCTTGTTGTTAAATCTAAAATCCATACAACTTCCTTAATCTCAATTTACTTAACTAATGGGTAAACATCAAAATTCAACAACAAAATCGTCTTCAAATCATTCGGAGATAAAAATTTCTAAATACAAACGATAATAATAAGTGCAGTAATGATAAATGCGCCCTGGCATGTTCAGATGACACATTTAACAAAACATCATTACCAGTTCTCTGATTCGTCGGTGATTTCAACGCTGTAGCAGCAGGCGCATACGTTACTCAAAATAACTTCCGATTCGAGTGTTTCCGTTAAGTAACTCGCCGTCGCGACGAACTACTCAACTGGGTCCGCGGTGGGAGAGCGTCGCATTCTTCGCTCGCAATTCGCAAACGACCGACGTCTTGGTATAAAAAAAAAGTTTTTATACCGGGGATGACGACTTAACTTCTGCTAAATGACGCCGTGGACTATAGTCATTTTCGAATCGTATATTGTAGGAGTTGTAAATAATCGTATTGTAATTCCCCAGAATAAAAAACTATTCGTGTAATTTAGTGCGTTAAATGTGTTTTATATATTATCTCGCAGTGATACTGTGATCGTAAAACGACGAAATGAATCGACAACAGCAGCAGCAACAATCGACTCAGAAGAGTCAACAGACTCAGCAGAGCAGTCAGACTCGCCAGAGTCAGACGCACGAGAGTCAACAGACTCAACAGACTCAGCAGACTATGCGGACCGAGCAACATGTTCGACAAGTTACAGGTATATATTAAGAAAAAACACAAAACGAAAACGTATAGAAACCGTAATGCCCGTTTCTGCGCCCATAGTGAAACCCTCAGTTAGTTTCAGCAAGTTCTAAAACAATTTGGAAAAACGTACATAATTCCTACTGCATCTAATCTGAACTGAAAATGTCAATTACCATAAAAATGTAACGCTTACTAGAACTATACGGCCGAAACTATGACAAAAGGCTTTCGCGGTCAAATGTTTTCTACTCGTGTAGTTATACACATAAACCATATACTGAAAATAATTATAAATCACACAATAATGCATAAATTTTAACAAAAATCTATAATCTCTTATAGACAAGATAGGAAAGTGTAATTCCATGGCTTTAAAAATAGCTTTATTAATTAAAAAATGTTAGCAACAGCGAAATTTACTTTAGATATATTTAAGTAAACTTAGAAGTTTCACTAATAACGAATTTAATTAATTAACACTAAAAAATGTGGATTCAGTGACTACCTTTCAAACAGAAATTAGAACAAAACTTAAAATCTGCACAACAAATTGATTTCTAAATTTTTTACCGTACGAAAGACTAAACAGAATTAACACCAAAATACAATACTTAGCAATTTACCAAAGAAATAATGAGATAGCCGCAACTACTGCTATCTATCTAAAAGGGTACCTATTTGTCCATAGTTCAAATGATTAAATAAAAATGTACTCAAATGAAAATATTTTCGAAAAAATTTCTGAAATCGATTTAAAAATATTTTATAAAATGGCAGCGATCTTATGGCAATGATGTCACCATTCAGTAATAGTTTATCATTATTTTTCAAATTTTGATTTCACTGATCAATTTCTAACGATTTAGGAAATCGACTTACGAAATTAGTCGAATATCCAATTGTATACCTACAGATAAATATTACAGAACGATAGCAAACAAAGTACAGCAAAATATGTTGATTTAAAAATCGATTAAATTATCTTGTTAATGATATCCTTCTTCTAATCCCAGAACGCTTTATTCCGGGCAAATATTTACGATTATATCTTTGCCAACTGCGAAATAATCTTAATATTATCATTTATTACAATTCTTCAGTAAATAAAAACATAAACAACACCAAATTGTTTCCGGGGTCCCATTGAGGCGAAAAATATTTAGTATGAATCTTTCTCAAAATAGACAAGATTAAAAGGTTTTGTTACTGCAAAGTAGGCATTAAATTTGTAATTCTCTTGGTATTAAAAATTGTCCAAAAATACATACTCTTACGTGCAGTGTTGGCTTGAGGACAAAATCTAATTTTGATACAAAACAAACAACAAACAAGATCACGAAATAATTCTGCAATCAATAAGGATCATCCATAGAAATGTAGATGTCATAGTAAAAACAGGATTAAAATTAAATAATTACATATACATATATAGTAGGAACAATTTCATCTCCCATTGAAAAAAAATTGTTAATAAAAATACCTACCAATTGAAAAATAATAGGCATCCACTAATTTGTAAATAAAAAAACATTTTTATTTGTGTTATTGTTAGCGGTAATTATATATACTGTTTTGAAATCAAAGGTGAAGCAGTTTACAAAAGAATTATTGTTATTGCTGTTTTGTTTATTAATATTATTATTATTATTATTCTAAACATAAATTCGTAATCCGAGTTTTCCTCGTTTCTGTAAGCAACATACATAACTAGCTCCCGAGTCGTCCGACGTTATTGGGATTTATAAATAGGTGTTCCTAAAATGGGAGGCTGAAATCCGACACACGACCCAAGAAACAGAACAGAAATAGCCGCTCGCTGGCCCCATACCGATCCCGCTGTCATGCCGACAAAAATGTAGTTGTATAATTACACTCGCGAGACTTAATTTGATTAATACCAATTAGAAACGACACATGATTGAAAATTGGAACATATGTAGGCCAATACTCACACAAAAAAAAAAATGTTAAAGCGCCCCCAAGTTCGATCCTTTTTTTTTAACTCATTAGGGATCTAAATATACACATTTACTTGGTTTGAATATTTCGTAAGAAATGTTTTCTACTTTATCAAAACAAATTAACAACAAATACTGAAAAAATTATAATAAAGTTTCTATGAGACACAAAAACAGAAACACTTGAAAAGCTTCCACGTATTCTACCAAGAAGCCCCTTACCATCTTGGATTAACTCATATACAGTTTGTCATAAAAACGTAAAGAAGTTTAGTCAACAATAGATAAAGTTTAATAATAAGTTTTATAAAAATTTTTGATTGTTCCTTATAGTTATTCTAATAGTCATTAGCTTTTAAATTCACTTCATTAATTAAGTACAAATATTTTGATGTAAATGTTTGTCATTTGTATTATTTTTGGCATTTTGTTTGTATGAGAACGAATATATCACTCAGATCATGAAATATGTTGTGCATAAATGTATAAGGATGTACAATCTAAATGAAAAAAATTGGTACCATTGATTCCTAGAGTGTGACTGTGACAATAATTGTGATTAACAAAAACAATTTTTTTTTTAGAAAAGTTATTAAATTCACTCTGATGAGGGTAATTTTTATATTCATATCAATCGGTTATTATATACTACATAATTATCTATGATTAAGATAATACTGTTTAAGCATGAGAATGTGGCCCATTTCTAAACTTTTTTTTAATTATAGAAAATAATGTACATGTCTAATTAATTAATTACTTACCTATTCTGCCAAATTTGCTTTCATCAGCGAACCATCTTCAAGCAGTAAACAAGGGGCACTGAAAAAAAAAAGAAAACACCATTATAATATGAATAAAAATTTCGAATTATACACTATATGTAAACCACATTATATATAAATGGTTGTTTTCCGCTGTAACATTTGTCTCACTATTTAGCACTTAGTCTTTGAAAATATCAATCGAGTAAACGTTACGATAAATATTTTAATTTTAGATTACTCTAATTCTATCGTAACTAAAATTATTAAAACAGGAAGGATATGAGAACACTAAACTACTACTTATCTACAAATCATTTATTTATTAATTTTTAAATTAAAATAAAAATAATAATCAAAAACAATGTGAACACGAATTACTTACAAAAGAAAAAGAAATCGAAAGTGCAGAATAAGAACTTTTGTCAAATTGGCAAAGGATTTCGCGGCCACTTGGTGAACTGATGCTGTTTTGATTGGGGTCTTAAGGCCGTCGTCGTTTGAAGTTGCTTCCTAGTGTTTCGCTAGCACGAATGGCAAACTTCTTCAGAGGTCCGCATCCAGCATCGGAGATGGAAGAACTTCTGGACCTCTGAAGAAGCTCGCAGAGGTAGCATCTCCAACCGACGACGGCTTTTAGATCCGAACCAGGACAGTACAAGAATTTTTGTTTTTGATTTTCATACGACAATTTGTGTACTTTCTTCCCATTTTCTCTTTTTTTTTACATATGTAGATTGTACCGAAACTTCTATAAATCATTTCATTAATAACACTAAAATCTTGCTCGATATTTAGTTATTGATTTTTTTGCAGTTCACGGAGGGCAACTCGGACAATCCGAAATCCAACAGTTGGGTTTCGGGCCGAACGCATCTCCTCCAGTGTTCGAGAAAGTCTTCAGTAATGCTCGGTTTGCTCAAGGAGGCAATGCCACATTTGACGGTCGCATTGTCGGTAAACCTCAGCCTACAGTATCGTGGACCCGAAAGGGAGCACCCCTAGCAGATTCTAGCAAATACAAAGTTACTTATAACGAACGAACGGGAGACATAACATTGACAATATATAACATAGGACCTGGAGATGAAGGCGAATACGTTTGCACCGCCAAAAATCAACACGGAGAAGCCGTATGTTCGGTATACATCCAGCCCGAAGGGTTACAAATGCCTAGATTAGGTGGAATGCAAAAAACCGAAAGTTACCAAAAATACGAATCATCTTACAGTAACGGTGTAACCGAGGAATTTAAAGTAGATATATTCGAATATCGTCTTTTGAGGGAAGTTTCCTTCAGAGAATCGGTGACGAAACGCTTTGTAGGTGAAACAGATACCCAAATTTCGACTACCATCGAAAAATCATTGGGACCTGCAGCCCCACCGCAAATATCTCAAAAACCACGCAATTCTAAGCTTCTCGAAGGTTCAGACGCAGTTTTCAGTGCCAAGGTATCCGCTAATCCTAAACCAAGGTTAACATGGTTTAAGGATGGTAAACGTGTAACACAATCCAACAAATACGAAACCAGTTACTCAAACAACCAAGCGACCCTACGGGTCAAGCAATCTCAATCCGATGATTCGGGACATTACACACTTTTAGCAGAGAACCCTCAAGGAGCCGTAGTTTCATCAGCGTACTTGGCTATTGAACCAGTAACTACACAAGAAGGACTGATTCAGGATACTTTCAAAGCCCAACCAGTCGAAGAACCTTCAGATACAGCCAAAACCTTAGCTCCAAACTTCGTAAGGGTATGTGGTGATCGCGATGTCACTGAAGGAAAAATGACACGTTTTGACTGCCGCGTTACTGGCAGACCATATCCTGACGTAACATGGTACATAAATGGTCGACAAGTCGTCGACGATCACACCCACAAGATATTAGTAAACGAATCTGGTAACCATGCCCTGATGATAACGAATGTCGGACGAAACGATTCAGGTGTTGTCACTTGCGTGGCCCGAAACAAAACCGGAGAAACTTCTTTCCAATGCAACCTGAATGTCATCGAAAAAGAACAAGTTGTCGCTCCCAAATTTGTCGAACGATTCACGACCCTTAGTGTTAAGGAAGGAGAACCCGTAGTCTTTAATGCCCGTGCTGTTGGCACCCCCACACCACGAATCACTTGGCAGAAGGACGGTGTTCCAATAACCCCAACTCCTGATGTGCGCATTTCAATCGACGGTGGAGCCTCTACTTTAGATATACCGCGAGCCAAGGCGTCGGATGCTGCATGGTATCAATGCACCGCCCAAAATGTAGCCGGCTCCACTGCGACGAGGGCTCGTCTCTTTGTGGAAGTCCCGCAAGGACCAACTCCAGAGCCCAGACGCTTACATCTACCGCGACCAACCAAAATAATCGAACCAGAGTAAGTAAATCATCATCAATTGTACGTACGTACGTATATAATAACAATTTAATTTTGATAGACCGGAACCTGGCCCAGAAGTGATCTACTTACGTCATCTTGAACCTACAAGACCTTACCAGCCTGGTCCTGAAGAAGATAAAATTTATCCACCTCCTCAGTTCATCATTCCTTTGCAAGACATTGTTCAAATTGAAGGAGGAAAAATTCACTTTGAGGCCAGAATCGAACCGGTTGGCGACCCCACAATGCGTGTGGAATGGTTTTTGAATGGAAAAGCTATGCAAGCAAGTAAGTTTCAACATCCGCGATAAGCAACTCCGTTACATTTTTCCAATGAACTAATAAAATAAGATCTGCTCTATACCAAATTGGTAATTTCGCACCCATATTAAATGAACTGATCCTGTCCTGATTCGGATCTAAAGGTCGTCATGGACTGGAGTTGCCTCCTAATGTTTTGCTAGCAAAGACCCTTCTATCTCCAATGCTGGATGTGGACTGAAAACGTTAGGAAGCACCTTCAACCGACAACAGTCTTTAGACTCAGAGCAGTATAAATTTGCTATATACGTTATAATCTTCAATTAATTTAATTCTTTATGATATTTACTTTTATACAAATGCCTAGGAGCCTATCTGTCTAAATTACCTACTTACAATAATTTCATAAACTTAAAAATAATAATAAACGGATAATATCCTTAATGGTAACAAAATTGTTCTGTTTTTAAGGTTCCCGAGCAAATGCTATTTTCCGTTTCGGCTTCATAGCCCTAGACTTACTTAGTGTGACGACGCGCGACAGTGGTGAATATATCTGTCGTGCAACAAGCGCAACCGGAAGTGCAGAATCTCGTGCAATCTTGCGCGTACAACCCCGGGCAAGCATTGAGAAAACGAGTCAGCACCCTGACAGTCTCCAATACATTCAACAACTTGAGGATTACTCCAAATATCAACGAAGTGAAAGTTTAGACGAACAAACGAACCAGAAACCTCACTTCATCCGACCACTCCAAGATTTAGGGCAACTTCAGGAGGGTCGAAATGCACATTTCGAAGCCCAACTGACCCCCGTAAGCGATCCAACAATGAGAGTGGAGTGGTACAAGGATGGAAGGCCTATTACAGCCAGTTCCAGAATTTCCACAATTTTCAACTTCGGCTACGTTTCCCTCAACATAATGCACCTACGGGCCGAAGACACAGGTTCATACACCGTACGGGCTGTAAATCGAATGGGTGAAGCCCTTAGCACGGCTACCCTTCAAGTTCAAGTTCGTTCTACTGTCACTTCTGATTTAGGAATCCCTGAACAACAACGATATATTGAAAAAGTAAATGAATTGGAGGCTTACCAACAACAACAGCATCAACAAAAATACGTGCAAGAAACTCCTGAGAGTTTATACCCTCCAGAATTTAAAACCCCTATCAAAGATCAACATGGTGTTAGAGAGGGAGGTTTTGCTCATTTCGAAGCTAGACTCGAACCAACCGGAGACTCAACATTAAGAGTTGAGTGGTATAAAGATGGAAAACCAGTTGAAGCTAGCTCGAGAATAACAACATTCTTCAATTTCGGTTATGTCGCGCTTACCATTAAAGCAGTAACAATTCACGATGTCGGTAATTACACTTGCCGTGCATACAACTCAATAGGAGAAGCAACTACAACCGCTCAGCTAAGCGTTATAAGCAAGAAAGATATAATTTTCGACTCACAACATCCTGAAGGTTTAGAAAAGATTCAACATTTAGAAGACACTAGCAGATACACTCGTAAAACTGACGAGGAAGTGTCGGTACTACAAAAACCAAGATTCCTGGGACCACTGAAAGGCACTAACAAAATTGTTGAAAGCCAACGTGGTCACTTTGAGGCTAGAGTTGAACCACAGAGTGACGCATCTCTTAGAATTGAATGGTACCACAATGGAAAATTAATTGAAAGTGCCAACAGAATTCAAACATATCACGATTTTGGGTACGTTGCCTTAGACATTCTCAGTGTCAGAGCCCAAGACGCTGGTACTTATACCGTCGTAGCGCGCAACTCATTGGGTGAAGCTCAGGTTTCAGCAAATATGGTTGTAGAAAGTAAGTCAGTCATTTAATCAATATTAAGATAGTTACTAAAATAAATTTTTATTTGCAGCTCGTGCCAGCATTGACACCTCCAGTATGCACAAGACTGCATACGATAAAACCCAAAGATTGGAAGAGTCAAAATTTATCGAACCCCAATATCAAATTGAGGAAATATCCAAATCAAAACCAATTTTCATTCAACCACTGACTGACGTTCCTCCACTTACTGAAGGCAAAAATATTCACCTCGAATGCAGATTGGAACCAATGGGAGATCCCACAATGAGAGTAGAATGGTTCTGTAACGGAAAACCTGTTACTGTTGGTTCTAGATTTAGAACTTATAACGACTTTGGATTCGTAGCTCTCGATATCATTCATGCTACAGCAACAGACTCAGGAGAGTACACTGTAAGAGCTACAAACCACCTGGGATCTGCCCACACATCTTCTTGTGTTCGTGTAATTTCAAAATCCGATATAATAACTGACACTCAACACGAACAGTCTTTAGAACAGATACAAATGCTGGAAGATTCCTCCAGAAAGCGCAGAATGGAAACAGAAGATGTCACTATTCTACAGGCTCCACAATTTACAAGAGCGCTACATAACATCGAAACTGTTGAAGGGACTAATGTACATTTAGAATGCCGTCTTCAACCAGTCGGCGATTCAACCATGAAAGTAGATTGGTTTGTCAACGGACGACCAGTCAAAACTGGACATCGTTTCAGACCTGCTTATGACTTTGACTATGTAGCACTTGACTTACTAAGTGTATACCCTGAAGATTCGGGAATTTATACATGTCAAGCCAGAAACCAACTAGGAGAAGCTGTCACCTCTTGCTCCGTAAAAGTTATAGCAAAAAAGGATTTAATTCTTGAAACACAACACCCTTCAGGTTTAGAAAAAATCCAACAACTAGAGGATACTTCTCGTTATAAACGCCAAGAATATATTGATGAAATAGTCAACGTTAAACCAAGATTTATTACAAAGCCAAAAAGTTTAGAAAACATGCGCGAAGGGCAGCACGCTCATTTTGAGTGTAAAATTGAGCCAGTCACAGACTCCAATTTAAAAGTTGAATGGTTTAAAAACGGTAGACCAATCACCATAGGACACAGATTCCGTCCAATCCACGACTTTGGATATGTTGCTTTGGACGTAATTGATCTAATCGCCGAAGATTCTGGAACGTACACGTGTCGTGCAGTAAACTTAGTCGGACGAGACGAAGTCTCCTGTAATCTCGTATGCCGGAGCAGCCAGCAGATCATTTATGACACGCAAAACGAGTTAGGTCTTGAAAAAATCCACCATTTAGAAGACCGTACTCGCTATCAAAGAAGAGAAGATGTCGAAGAAGTTACAACACAAGCGCCTACATTTACATCTTCTCTAAAAAACGTAGATATTAAAGAAGGTCAAAGAGCACATTTTGAATGTCGTCTTATACCCGTATCCGATTCTACCATGAAAGTAGAATGGCTTCACAATAACCAACCATTAAAATCCGGGTCAAGATTCACCGAAACCAACAACTTCGGTTTCGTAGCTCTTGACATTCTGTATGCTTATCCAGAAGATGCTGGCACTTACACATGCCGGGCAGTTAATGCCCTTGGCGAAGCAGTTACATCTGCAGTATGCGTAGTCAGATCAAAAAAGTCAATCGTGAGCGAAACCGTTCATGAAGGTGCCCTTGAAAAAATACATGTTTTGGAAGATCAATCACGTTATCAACGCCAAGCCGTCCAAGAAGAAACAATCAGTCAAACCCCTGTTTTTACAATGCCTATTAAAGATTTAAGAGTAGCTGAAAACCAGGCTGCTCATTTTGAAGCACGACTGATTCCAGTTGGAGACTCAAAATTGAAAGTCGAATGGTTACGCAATGGCGTTCCAATCCAAGCTTGTAAGTATACCACAAAAGAAAAGTCAACTAACCAAAAAGCTTAAACTTAATCTATTTGATTACAGCTAATCGCATAACTACCATGCACGACTTCGGTTATGTTGCCCTAAATATGAAATATGTTAATCCAGAAGACTCTGGAACATACACTTGCCGCGCTGTAAACGATTTAGGTGAAGCTGTTACGACAGCTACTATGTTTGTTCAATGTAAGTATAAATAAACATTAAATGTTAACAGAAAACTTGACGACAACACATCAATTTTAGCAAAAGCATCGCTTCAACTAGAAACTCAACATGAAGCCGCTCTACAAAAATTAAGACAATTGGAACAATCATCCAAATATACTCGACGTGAAGAACAAGAAGTGGTTGCAACCCAAGCCCCAAGATTTACTACACAATTAAACGGACCAACAGAAATCTTTGAAGGACAAAGTGCCCACTACGAATGCCGTATCGAACCCTATCCTGACGCCGATTTGAAAGTAGAATGGTTCCACAATGGAAAACCGCTTACTACAGGGCACAGGTTCCGAACCGCATACGATTTTGGCTTTGCAAGTTTAGACATTCTTACCGTGTACGGAGAAGATGCTGGAGAATACACATGCAGAGCTACCAACCGTTTAGGTCAAGCTACATCCTCGATCGTAACCAGTGTAAAGAGTAAGTCACTTGCTAAATAATATTTAACAGTCGAACACTTATTTTCAAATATTCCTTACAGCAAAAGCGTCAATTATACGCGACACTCAACATGAAGGTGCTCTACAAAAGATACAATATCTCGAAGATGACTCGAAATACAAGAAAACTGCCAGAGAGGATGCCATAGTCTTAGAAAAGCCTCAGTTTGGAAGAGGCCTGAAAAATATTGAAAATCTACCGGAAGGCTTAAGTGCCCACTTAGAAGCTACCCTAACACCTGTTAATGATGCTACCATGAAAGTGGAATGGTTTTGTAATGGCAGACCAATCCAAACCGGACATAGGTTCAAAACAACCTATGACTTCGGATACGTTGCCCTCGACATTCTTTATGCATACGCTGAAGATTCTGGCACGTACATGTGCAGAGCGAGAAATGCAGTTGGAGAAGCAGTTACAACAGCGTCAGTAAATGTTGTTGGTAAGCTTCTTAGACGATAGATATGTAATATTTGTTGCAATATTAAATGTGTTTAATTAATAGCTAAGTCCGGCCTTGAACTTCAAACTCTGGACGAACAACGTTTAAGAAAAATTCGAGAATTAGAAACGTATGAAAGACCACAGAAACAGGAAATTGAACCAGCACCACAAAGACCAGTTTTCCTTACACCTTTGATAAGTTTGGACAATCTTAAAGAAGGTGACCATGCTCATTTGGAATGCCGCGTTGAACCAATTAACGATGCCAATCTAAGAATCGAATGGTTTGTAAATGGAGTCAAACTGAAGACAGGACATAGATTCAGAACAACTCACGACTTTGGTTACGTAGCTTTGGACATTCTTTACACTTACCCAGAAGACAGCGGAACGTACATGTGTAAAGCTATAAACTTAGTTGGCGAAGCTGTAAACACATGTACCATAAATGTGGGAAGTAAGTATTATGATTAAACAATTAATATTTACTGAGTAATGAAAACAACTTAATGTTCCTTTCAGGTCGCCGAAGCATCATCCTGGAAACACAACATCCAGAGGGTCTAGAAAAGATCCGTGAATTAGAATCCCAAGGACACCCAGCTAGATTAGAAATCGAAGAACCAGAACCAACTCCTCCCAGATTTATTACCGAACTCAGAGGTACCACCCAAGTTTACGAAGGTCAAACCGCTCACTTCGAAGCACAAGTAGAACCTATTCACGATTCAAATCTAAGAATAGAGTTCTATCACAATGGAAAACCGTTACCATCTGCTTCAAGATTCCACATCACATTTGATTTCGGATATATCGCTTTGGATATTGGCCACTGCGTTCCAGAAGATGCAGGAGAATACTCTGTTAAAGCCGTAAACAACTTAGGACAATGTGTTTCTAGCCTTAATCTTACTGTTATTGCAAAGAGCAGCATTATCTTGGATTCACAAAGACCCGAAGGGCTAGAGAAAATCAGACAACTTGAAGAACAAACTCCGTTCAAGCGTCCAGAAATTGAAGAACCCGTCACTAGACAACGTCCCGTATTTACTCAACCTCTTCAAAATATCGACGGAATTATTGAAGGTCAAACAGCTCACTTCGAATGTCGTCTTATTCCTGTGGGAGACCCAACTTTGAAAGTGGAATGGTTCAGGAACGACAAGTTAATTGAAGACAGTTCAAGAATCACAAAAGTTCATGACTTCGGTTACGTATCATTGGACATTAAACAAATACGTACCGATGACGCAGGTGTATACATGTGCAGGGCTTCTAACCCTCTTGGGGAAGCCGTTACGACTGCATCTATGAAAATTAGAAGTAAGTATAATTAGCTGTATTAATAAACAAATTAAACTTATAGAATTTTCGTAATAGAGGGTATTTTATTTTATAACATAAACACAGATTCTAAAAATTCATATTTCTTGCAGCCGAAGCAAGTATACAGCTAGAAACACAACATCCCGAAGGAATGAAAAAGATTCAGCAACTTGAACAACCCGCAGCACCACGTCCTGAAGAGGCTGAACGTGTATTTGAGAAGCCAATCTTCACACAATTACTGACTGGACCGACTGAACTTTGGGAGGGACAACACGCTCATTTCGAAGCAAGAGTTGTTCCAGTGGGCGATGCCAGTTTAAGATTTGAGTGGTACGTCAATGGAGTCGAGTTGAAATTAGGATCTCGTATCCGTGTAAACCACGACTTCGGATTTGTGACTCTAGACATCATGTCCACAGTTCCAGATGATTCTGGAGTTTACACTTGTAAGGCGATAAACAAATCGGGCGAAGCCGTTTCATCGATTTCAATGAAGGTTAAGTCAAGATCAAGTATCATTGGCGAAACACTTCACAAAGATGCTTGGGAAAAGATCCAACTTAAAGAGGCGGAAATGAACAAAGTTCCGGAAATGTTTGTTGACACAACACCTCAGCAAGCTCCTGTCTTCACAACTCATCTTCAAAGTTACGATAAACTGGTCGAAGGTCAACACGTCTTCTTAGAAGCACAAGTAGAACCACGTGCTGATCCAAACCTCAGAATAGAATGGTTCAAAAATGGAATATCATTAACCACCGGAGCCCGTTTAAAGAGTACATTTGATTTTGGTCATGTGACATTATCTATAAACGGTCTGAGAGCAGACGACTCCGCTATTTACACCTGTAAAGCCACAAACTTGTTAGGAGAAGCTGTTTCTACATGTTCTCTCAAAATAGAAGATAAGCATTGGTTAATGGGGCAAACATTACATCCCGATGCCATACCAAAACTTGAAGCTTTAGAAAAAACTCCAGAGTCAAAGCCGGAAGCTCCTGAGCCTACTTACGAATCTCCCATATTTATATCACACCTGAATAACGTAGAATGCACTGAAGGAGACAACGTTCATTTCGAGTGCACAGTAGAACCTTCCAAAGACCCGACAATGAAGATCGAATGGTTTGTAAATGGGAGACCTCTACCAAGTGGTTCACGATTTAAATCAACCTATGACTTTGGATATGTCGCGTTAGATCTCGTACACGCTTACGACACAGACTCCGGAATATACACATGCAAAGCCACCAACAGCAAAGGATCTGCAACAACGTCAGGTTCCTTACGCTGCACAGCTAAAAAGGATATTTACCTAGACACGCAACATCCGCAAGGAGAGAAAGGTTTGGAAGCTGTCAAAGACGTTGAGGACGCATTCGCAAGCAAATACGCTCGGCAACCATCTGGAGCGGAAGCACAATTCCCTAAACCCATATGGATCATACCGCTACAACCGGAATTCAACATCACAGAAGCCAATCCGCTACACTTAGAAGCAACCGTAGAACCAAAGGACGATCCTAACCTTAAAATTGAATGGTTCGTCAATGGAAAATCGCTAGATCATGGATCTAGATTTAAACTTGCAAACGACTTTGGATTCGTTACCTTAGATCTGAGAGATACATATGAACGCGATCAAGGTATCTACACTTGCAAAGCTTCAAACTTGGCTGGAGAAGCTTTCACTTCAACAACAATCTACTGCACCACGAAAGCTTCCTTGATCGAAAGAACACAACATCCTAAAGGACAAGAAGGCTTGGAAAAGATCCAAGACTTGGAAGACTCCTTGAAACGTGGAGAAACCCGCCCTCCGGAAGTTGAAGATGGTCACGCACCGGTTTTCACTTCGGAATTTACTCACCTTGTAAATTTGAGCGAAGGAGAAATTGCTCATTTCGAAGCAGGGCTTACACCAATTGGAGATCAAACAATGGTTGTTGAGTGGTTCTACAATGGAAAGACCATTGATGCAAGTCACAGATTTAGAACGGTTCACGCGTTCGGCATGGTAGTTCTTGAAGTTCTTGGTACCAAAATTGAAGACTCTGGTACCTACACTTGTGTAGCAACAAACAAATGGGGCAAAGCAGAACAGAGCGTTACACTTGAATGTGTTGATAAATATAAGGGTCAGAAACCCCGCTTCACAACTCAAATTAAGGATATAATGGGAGTTAAAGATGGGGAAGCTGCACATTTTGAATGTACAGTGGTCCCAACTAACGATCCTAACTTGAAAATTGAATGGTTCCACAATGGCCAACCACTTCTTCAATCGTCTCGAATTAAAACTGTATCCGACTTTGGATTTGTTGTTATGGATATTTCCTATGTTCAAAGTCACGTCGATTCTGGCGAATATGTTTGCAAAGCCAGCAACAAGTTTGGCGAAGACTTCACAAAGGCAACAATATCAGCCCTTGGCAGGAGCGGCGTATTCTTGGATAGTTTACAGCCAGATTCTCTCGATAAGATTAGACAATTAGAAAGTCAACAAAGGCAACAACCCCAGACACCTACAACACCTATTACTGAGCCTCCTAAATTCATTACTCAAATCCAAGATGTTACAAAACTAGTAGAAGGGCAAAGCGCACACTTTGAAGCACGATTAACGCCTGTTACCGATCCAGATCTTGTAGTCGAATGGTACTACAATGGTAAAAAATTACCCCATGGTCACCGATACCGTACATTCCACGACTTTGGAATTGTAATTCTGGATATTCTCTACTGCTATGAAGAAAATTCGGGCGTTTACGAATGCAGGGCTTATAACAAATACGGTGAAGATTCCACCAAAGCAACACTCAAATGTGTCTCAAAAGCCAACTTAATCCTGGACTCGCAACTACCGCGGGTAAGAATCTCGTTCCAATATTTTTTCTTTTAATATATTAAATTAACATTTTCAATTGACAATGAAGTTTTTTAGTTTCAGATTTTTTAATTGTTATACAAAATGTAGAATTAAAACCATGGTTAGAATGAGTTTTGCCTTAAAGCATAATTTTCTTTTAGGGCATGGAAGGAGGCTTGGAAAAAATTCAAACACTTGAAGATTCACTTATTAGACAAAAACACGAAGACGTCACTGAAGAAAAAGGCAGAGCACCTGTATTTACTGTGCCCTTATCCAACATTGACAACTTACGTGAAGGAGAAAGCGCTCATTTTGAAGGTCGGCTAATTCCAACCGATGATGCAAAATTGAAAGTAGAATGGTTCTGGAATGGAAAACCGTTAAGAACTGGTTCAAGATTCCGTACATTCTGCGACTTCGGCTTTGTTATCTTGGAAATATCGCCTGTTTATCCAGAGGACTCTGGAGAATATTCTTGCAGAGCAATCAACGAATATGGAGAAGCAGTAACAAATGCATCAATGAAAGTACAAGGCAAAAGAAGTATCATTTTGGAATCACAACTACCAAAAGGAATGGAAAATACTATCGATAAAATAGCAGAACTCGAAGGTCTTGGCTCGGCACCAGCTCCACCTTCGCCTGAAGAAGATGAAGGAAAACCACCAGAATTCATCACTACACCTTCTGACCTTACCCTCTCCGAAAACTCTTTGGCACACTTTGAATGCAGACTTACACCTGTTAACGATTCTAGTATGCGAGTGGAATGGTTCCACAATGGAAAAGCCCTTTGGGCAGGTTCAAGAATCAAGACTATTAACGACTTTGGATTTGTCATTCTTGAAATCGCAGGTGTTTATCAACGCGATTCGGGATTGTATACCTGCAAAGCTACAAATAAACATGGCGAAGCTACAGTTTCTTGCAAACTATCCGTTAGAGGAAGACAAGGAATTATCCTTGAACCTCAATTACCTACTGACTTCCGAACAGGAACCGAAAGCATTCAAAGACTCGAAGAAACGTTGCATAAGAAGGACGAAATACTGCCAGAAGAAGAAACGCCAAACCCACCCAGATTTATTGTGGAGATTAAAGACAATATTGACGTTCCTGAGGGTGGCCCGATCCATTTCGATTGCAAAGTTGAGCCTACAAACGACTCAACGATGAGAATTGAATGGTTCCACAACGGCAAACCATTTGCTACAGGCTCACGCGTTCACCAAATTAACGATTTCGGATTTATTTCCCTTGACATTGACTATTCATATGCACGCGATGCTGGTGAATATATTTGTAGAGCTACAAACAAATGGGGCTCTGCAATCACTAAAGCCACCGTGACCTGCACGTCGAAACATAACATTGATACAGATTCACAACTTCCAAGCGGCATGAGTGCTGAAAAATTAAAAGAACTAGAAAAGGGTCACGTTACCGAACCACCAAAAGAGGACGAACCCATCCGCTCACCACCTAAATTTATTACCCACATTACATCAGCTACTGTTGAAGAGGCCGAATCGGTGAGATTTGAATGTCGTGTGGAACCAAAAGAAGATCCAAAATTAAGAATCGAATGGTACAGAAACGGAAAATTACTGCCCGCTGGTCATCGTTATAGAACAATGTACGATATGGGTTTCGTATCATTGGACATATTGTACGTATATCCTGAAGATTCTGGCGAGTATGTGTGCCGAGCTGTTAATGATTACGGCGAAGACTTTACAAAAGCCACGGTATCTTGTAAGAAACTGCCCAACATCGTTCTGCAAAACCAAGTTCCTAAGGGAATGAAGAGGTCTGAAACACTAATGCAAATGGAGGCCGCAATCAAGAAGTATACTTCAGAAATTTACCTTACCGAAGATGATTTATACGATCCCGATAAGAAACAACCTCCACGGTTTGTTACTCAAATCAAAGACCAAACAGAGTTAGTGGAGATGAACACCAGCAAGTTCGAATGTCAACTGGCACCAGTTGGCGATCCCAACATGAAAGTGGAATGGTTCCTTAACGGAAAACCATTACCCCACAGTAAGTCATGTCCGGAAATTTTAATTATTGATTAATTAATCTAACAATTCACAGAAAATCGCTTCACACCCATTTACGACTTCGGTTACGTCGCCATGAACTTCGGATGGGTTTACCCCGAGGACAGTGGCGAATATGTATGCCGTGCTACTAATCTTTACGGAATGGATGAAACCAGAGCAATCATCCGAACAACCGGTAAACCAGGAATCATATACGATTCTCAACTGCCGAAAGGAATGAAGAGCATTGAAAGAATTAGAGAATTAGAAGCCGCATGGCAAGTGTACGTATTCTATTGAAATTTATATAAAAAGAACTTTATCACAATACAATTAATTTGCAGGGTTCCTGAAGAAGTCGAAGAAGAATCTAAACCACGATCTGCACCAGTATTTGTGAGCAAACCAGAACCATGCACAGTAGAGGAAGGCGGCTGGGCAAGATTCTGCTGCCGTGTCACTGGACATCCTCGTCCGCGTGTGATGTGGTTGATCAATGGTCACACTGTGGTAAATGGATCACGTTATAAACTTACCTATGACGGAATGTACCACATGGATATCCCAAAGACCCGACAATATGACACGGGAAAAATAGAGGTCATTGCACGTAGCTCCGTGGGAGAAGCTATAGCCGAAACGGAATTGACAATCGTTGCTAGACACGATGACTACAGAAGTGTGCTGAAAAATTCACCGAGACGTGAGTTTAATAATTTTCATTTCAAACGAAGGGCTAAAACTTTTCTCAATAGTAAAATCTTGCAGTCAGTAAAGTAACTAAAAGTATTAGTCCTTCATCGTTTAGAACATCATATCTCTTCTTTTATTCTGACAAAACAATGCACAATAAACACACACGACAATTTATGCCAACAATCAGCTTTAACTATTTATAAACAAAAACAAGCACACGCTGCTAATTCACATATATATAAGCACGATTTACAACACTTATATATAATAACACCTCGCCCTCTCCTCACCACTTGCTTCGACATCTTCATCCAGTGGTCGAGCAGCATCGATGGAATGAAGGTAATTTAAATCGCAAGGACAAGCAAAGAGGTAGGATAGATAATCCCGCGTATAAAATTAATAACGTCTTGCATGATCCATCCTTTAACATATGTTTCATTATTGTTTGTATTCATAGATTCTTGTCGTGTTGTGGTATTGAGCTGTTTGTAAAATTGTAATTTTCATTCTTTTCCCACCTACTCTTTACAATGAATTAATTGTGAAATCATGTGATCAGCTTGGTACGACAGCGAATTGTCACAATACCAAAAAGAACGTCAAGAAACCGAACTCGAACGCATTTTCGAAGAACGTCACACAGCACTCCAGGAAGGAGAGTTCAATCCTTCAACTATTCACGTTCAACCGAAGATTTACAAGGACGCCGAAGCAGAATGGCAACAACAAGTGAAACAAAAGAAAGGTGAAGATTATTACAGTAAAATACAAGAATTGGAAAACGAACAAGTCACAAAAGAAGTTCGACTACGAGAATCAACTCACCAGTATGCAATTCCTGGTGAAAAGATTGTCAACAGCAGTGTTGCCAAAGGAATGGCCCAAAGATACGAAGAAACCTTGTAAGTATTACAGCGACTATTTTTGTTAAACTGTATCACTAATACTGCGTGTTCTTTTTAAAGGGAAGTACAGCCTGAAGAAGTAAGTCTCCGAGAAACAGACAAGAGCAAAGTTCAGCGCACTACTGAGTACCAAATTGATTCCAAAAAGGGTGCCTACCCTCCCGACCCAACCCAATCGGCAGTACACGGAAGGGAAGTGTACGTTACAAAACAGAAACAGGTACAAAAGGAGAAAGCCGGAGATACAGAAATTACTAGAAACATAACAGCTACTGAAACGACTGATGTAGAGCACAAAGCACTGACACAGGAGCGCGTAGTTCAAGGTCAGGCAAAACCCAGCAAACCGCCCTTCTTCACAAAGAAAATACAACCCTGCAGAGTTTTCGAAAACGAACAAGCCAGATTCGAAGTCGAATTTGATGGTGATCCATTACCTGCCATCAAATGGTTCAGGGAAGATTTCCCAATCACTAGTTCTCCCGATTTCAAAATCTACACCATGAGCACGAAATCGATACTTGTTTTGAGACAAGTATACGTCGAGGACTCTGGAGTTTTCAGTGTTATTGCCGAAAATCGAGGAGGCACTGCCAAATGTAGCGCCAATTTGATCGTACAAGAACGTAAACGGCAAGGAAGAGGCGGTAAAGTTCCACCGAGCTTTGTGACAACCATTCAAAGTACAACCGTATCTACTGGACAGTTAGTTAGATTCGATGCCCGTGTAAACGGCACAAAACCAATCGATGTGTACTGGTTGAAAAATGGAAGAAAAATCACCCCTGATATACGTTACAAGACATTAGAAGAAGATGACTTGAACACCTTGTTAATTATCGAAGTCGTTCCTGAAGATTCTGGCAAATATGAATGTGTCGCGGTAAATGATTCTGGTGAAGCACGTTGCGAAGCAGAATGTATCGTGCAATCGCCGTCTACTGGAGCTAAACCGTCGAAGCCAGCATCTCCTGGTGCTGAAAAACCTCCAGTACTTGTGGAGCCACTTAGAGATCAAACCATTAAAGAAGGCCAGCCGGCAGCATTCCGATGTAAAATAACCGGAAAACCGGCACCTACAGCTACTTGGAGCAAAGGAAATAAAGTAATTAAACCATCGAAATACTTCCAAATGGTGAAAGAAGCAGATTTCTATACTTTGAAAATCTCCGAGGCCTTCCCAGAAGACGAAGGGACATATAAATGTGTTGCTCAAAATCCGGCAGGTTCTGTCAGTACACAAGCGAAACTGAACGTCTTAGCTCCTGAAAGTCAAGACATTCCACCTTCCCTAACTCCCATGAAAGATATCATTGTTCCGGAAGGTAGTCCAGCCCAATTCAAAACGACCGTTGGTGGAAAACCGAAACCTACGATCCAATGGTTGAGGGATGGATTTCTTATTCCAGAATCGCCAGACTTTCAGGTAATTATTTACAAATTCATCTCAAGTTCTAACACATTTATAAATCATGGTGATTATGCAATGATGATAAAAATAAATGAGTGTGTAGGTATAAAAATAAAATGCCCGGTCAATCATACACTTTTACAAACAATATTTCACCGCCATTTATTTAGAATGAAGCTATCAGTATCAAAAACTGACAGTTAACTGTTCCATCTGAAGAAGTCACTTTCTGGCAAAATTAATTATTTTGGAACAGTCAAACTTCTGCATTTTTCCAAGTTGTTGGACACGTGTATATATTATGTTACAGACAATCTGATTAAAAGCAATTATACA